TGAATTATAGATGACCATACTCAAAATTGTGTGCTATTTTCCGGAGCACCACATGTTGGTGGTTCTTTTACAAGAGAATGTCTAAGAACTGTCAGCCTGAACTGAACTATCTATCAAGCATTAGATCACTCGTTTCATTAGAAGGTGGAAAGACATGCTTATAAAGCGGAATAACACTGGTTTTCCAAAAAAAAAAAAACCAGTATTCTTAATGGGTAGTGTAAGCTGCATAAATCTCATTCAACGATCATGGCTACCAGTTCTTATAATCATATTTTGAGGGCTAGTTAATCATTTGTTAAGTTCCTCCAATTGTTAGACTCAACTCACACGGTGCTTTTTGATTCTGAATCAGCTATTGATGGGCGAACAGAAAATTCAAGATGAGCTTCGTTATGAAATAGACACAGCACCCCAGAATGGCAGGGCTACGACGTATGCTGATGCTGATGGTGAATACGATGAAACGACCGACGATGATAGTATCCTGCCCAAGAATGGCGCTCTGGTTAAGCATGGGCTGGCAGGAGCTTTTGAGCGCGAGTTGCTTTGGGGTTGGAAGGCCTTGCAGCAGCTCGTGGGCTTCAAAGCGGACACATGAGAGATGATGCATCTGGTATTGCTTGCTATGTATGCACGAGGGCATGGCGGTTTAGACGGCATGCTGTTCCTCAAAATGATGTAGTGGAGAACACTAGCAGGTAGCAGCAGCTACTGAGTATTTTGTTGTGGCCCTCTGTTGTGTGTACATAGTTTCTCTGGGAGAAACGCTATTTGTCAAGGGATTGTAACAACTTGTTATCAATAAGCCATGATCGGTCTGTCGACAGTTTGTAAAGCGGCCCCCGTTTTGACCCAGGAAAGATAATATCCTCTGCAAGGATGGTCAGTGAATCCTGAATCGTGCATATTCGTCGGAGTAAGCCGTGTTTCAGAACAAAAATGCACAGAAATCGTTTGATGATTGTGCTTCCTTGCGCTGTTTAAATAATCAAAATGCAATGTACAGTCAGCTCTTGTGTGCATTTAATCGTCTTTTATTTATTTATTTGTAACACTTTGCTTTCTGCCTAGTCGCCTTTTCCATTGCGACGTCTAGACGGAGCTGATGGTGGTTGGCCCTATCAGCTATCGTTATCCCAAAGATGCTGATGCTTTGCGAGTTGCAGGCGAGGAATAACTATATGTAATTAGGAGGAGACGAGCCAATCAGAGGGCGAAAATGAAAACTTGTAGCCATAATAAAATTCCAGATGTTGCTTTCACTTTGTGCACGCAGAGACCATTGTTGAACCCATGTGAAATGAAAGTAGGAACGTGGAACCAACTATCTTTGGTTTAAAGGAGAGAATTGTGGACTTGAGCCCATAAAGAAATGAGAATGCTACTATACTAGGGAGGAAGGTAGAACTACCTGTCATGAAGATTTGAATCCTTGATCTCATTGACTCGATCAAAGCGAGGTTGTGCCTTGCCGCCAATTTAGGGGTCTTATTAAGCTCTATCTTAAACCACCCCACAAAAACACTTTAAAAACTACTCCCTCCGTTCCATAATATATGAACATTTTGGACACTATACTGGCGTAAAAAACGTTCTTATAGGACAAGGGGAGTAGTATTAAAATGTCATGAAGATGAAGTTGTTTTTTTCTTAAAAGTTTGGGCTTTGAAAATCTGTCATTTTCTATCATCTATATTTGGGAGATGAGGATGTAATTCGGTAGCCGCGTTGAGCCCGAAAAACCATGTGCAGTATGTGTTTGCTAGAAAAAAAATGGAAGGATTAACTTTAAACTATACAACCAATTTGTAGGGACAAAAGCTTTTAAGGCATGTTACGACGTAAGATGCTTAGAAATGTGCTTAGTAAAATAAATTGAGGTCTTCTTACGCATTAGTGCTTATCTCTATGATGCTATAAACAAGCATTGATGCTTAAAAAAAACTGCTTTATTTCTCTAAACATCTCTTCTAAACACTTTGCGTTATATAAGGCCTGGTACTAGTAAAAACCCGCATGCAATGGTCAACTTTTCTTACTCTCCGTTCGAAAAAAAGCTTTTCTTACTCTCAGCAAAAAAAAATTCTTACTCTCAGATTTTTTTTATTTTGTCGATGGGGAGCCCTGTGATTTTTATAAAAGAAAAAAGAAATCTTATTCTCGGACGAGTGATGACTAGTTCTGCTATAACAACGGGGCCAGTCCAGCAGCGGCAGAGAACCCTGTGACATCCACAGCCCAGCCCTACCAGACAGATCCGGGGACCCAACCAATCCGCCCAACCAACATCGTACTCCGGCCCGGCGGCGGCGAAACCACCGCGCGGCCGCATCGGCGATGGCGGACGGCGCCAGCAGCAGCGGCGCCCGGGACGGCGGGGGAGGCGGCGGCGGCGAGTCGGTGGTGATTGACTACGGCCGGCGGCGCACGACCTGCGGCTACTGCCGATCCACCGGCCCCACGAGCATCTCCCACGGTACCAATCCCGGAATTCCCTTCCGATTTGAAATATAGCACCGGCACTTCTTCGACCTGGATCGATCCTTGTTGCGTGTGGAATTGCTCGTCAGTTCTGGTGTCTGTCTGGAGAAGACGCGCTATGCGTAGGAGGCGTAGATCACCCCTGAATCGAGTTTCAGGGGTACATGCTGTTGCTAAGGGAATCAGGCCACGAAGGCACGATGTTAGGAGGTATAGGTCACCCCGAGATGAATCTTAGGCGTACATACCCTTGCTAAGGCGAGATGCTCTCTAGTTGGGGTCGTGTAGAATCGTTGTTCTTTCTGCCTACAAGTCCTCACATTTGAAAAAGGCATGCCTAGGCTCTAGGTGATAGCAAAACACCTACGCGCTTTGGTCAGAAAAGCGCAAGGCCGTGGCAAAACACACAATTAACGCCTAGTACTTTTTAGAACTTTGATAATCCTAATGAAGTGGCTTATCCTTGCTAGTATAGGTTTGTGCAGTTAGGCTTTGAATGCTGATCGTTACTTCTCTGACTTTCTTAATTTGTTAACATGTGAGAATTTTCAGATAGCTCGGTTTGTGCCTCACCTTGTGTCACTTGTAAGAGTCAGCCAATTCCATTTTCGTAAGGCGTAATGAAGTGAAAAACATGCTATTGTCATGCTGAGTGATAACTCTTAATGTTCATTATGTTTTTGACGATAAACAACTAAACAAGTTTAAATGGTCAATCTCCTTCCCTTGCCGTTACCTTCTCCCCTTCTTTTTTCATTTCCTTATCAAACATCTGTTTATATGTCTATGAGTCTATAACGACAGTTTGTGCTACCATGGTGTGTCTGCTGGAATGTCCTTCTTGTGGTCATCAGTTGCTGTCTTGCCATTGTTGTGTTAGGTTGTATTGGCATATTCTTAGTCCTGTAAATCATTCTTTCTGTCAACAATGAGATACAAAACTTTTGTGCTTTCTTGGAGTAAAGTTATTGTGCTAGTTTCTTATCCTATTAATTTTACAGGTCTGTGGGCTAACAGTCTGAAAGCTGATGACTATCAAGGTGTGAAGATTTTTTGGCTCTTACCTTTTCTGTAAAATATCCATTTTTTGGACAGTTAGCTAATTCATTGATATAGATTTAGAGGCTGGTTGTTTATTCTGTTCGCACATGTAATTTAATATGCTTCTGATATTCGAAATACTAACCAGTAAATTTTTAATTAACATAATACATATATAATTAAATAATTGATAAAAAAATCAGATGACATTTTGAGCAATACCAAATAAGTTCTTAGATAAGGTCAAGGAAGTTCATGATACGCGATAGTATATATATAGAACCATACATGAGAATCGGTGGCGGAGTCAGGAATTTGCTCCTGGGTATTCTTGCAAAAAAATTGGCCAAAGCAATATAATAGAATAACAAATGTGCAGTAAGATGGCAAAATCAATGACTCAATGACCATACATCAATAATAGTAGCAAAATATCATTGTGGCGATATCTCTAACAATGTGGCAGTGGCAATGTTTCAGACAACAACCTATAGCTACAATCAGTGGCAGTGACAAACAATTACAATTTACAAGAAAAAGTCAACAAAGTAGCATGGCAGTGGCCATTTACAAGAGAAGTTTAAGATTTGTTTGAAAAACAGAGGAAAATCACCTTGGTGGTTCCGTGGTTGGTGCCTGTAGATGGATGCAGTACTAGATGGATGGCGTACTGACGCAGCGACACTCGACGGCGACGAAGGCCAGGGGTGGAGGGAGCCTGGAGCAGTGGCGGCGCCAAGGGGAGGCCCCGCAGCCCAGTGCCGCAGCCCCGCATGGACTGCGGAGGCCGGAGGCGGAGGGGAGGCCAGAGGGGAGGGGAGAGCCGGAAGGGAGGGAGAGGGGCAGAGAGCTAGATCGCTGGACCAGGATGGCTGGAATCGCTTGCCGTCGTCGGCGCCATCAGCTAGGTTTGGGGACTCTGCATCGAGGGAGGGAGAGTGGGAGACGGAGACCAGTTGCGTGGCTGTCGTGGCTCAGGATGGGCTGCTCTACCGGGCTCCAGCATGTATGCATGTATAGTCAGATTTTTTTGTGCCAAATTCTTTGGTATTCCAGTGAATGCCCAGGAATACCCTGAGCGCCGCCACTGATGAGAGTGCATACGATGACATGCTTTTATATCTTCAAGATATTGGGATATGAACATTTGGCAACACCAAGCTCCACCATGTTACATTTTCATCCATCTAATTTATCAGTATATCACTGACTGCCCATTGTTTTAGGATCAGTGCACCTACCGAAAACGACAAACATATCCCAACTGTGATATATGGAAACAACAGCAGGTTACTTAAAATCAGATTACTTAACAAGGAAGGAAATTTGCATATTTTCATATCATAGCAATTTGCAACAAGGAAGAACATTTATACCATGAAATAAGTGTATTCACAAAAACGATGCATTTGTTAATTATGGATTTAACTAGAGGCTTTGTAGAAAAGAAGAATGGAAGTGAGAGATGGAATAAGCTGACTTGTTAGTATATTAAAACTTTATTTGTTTGTATTGTTCCACGTAATGTGACTCTTATTTTTTCTTCAGAAGAATTGCTTTTGTTGCCATGGTTTTCACCATGATTAGAATGTTGATTGTTGTTTACAGCTCTTCTTGACCGTGGATGGAGGAGGTCTGGCAGTTTTCTCTACAAGCCTGAGATGGAACGGACATGCTGTCCGGCATATACTATACGCCTGAAGGCAAGTGATTTCATTTGTTCCAAAGAGCAAGACCGTGTACTTAAAAGGATGCAAAGGTACATGTTTGTTTGTCTATTTCCCCTCTTCTTCTTTTTTGCATACGCCACATGAAGTTTATATAATGTATATTTTATAGTTGACTCTTAAATTGTCTTATATCGTGTCTTCACCTTACCCCTGTTCAGGTTTCTTGATGGAGAGCTTGACCCACAGGTTGGAAGTCCACAGTGCAAGACTAACCCTACGAAACGTTCACTCAATGAACCTATGAATTCACCAACCTTGAAAGTATCCAGGGTATCAGCATATGAATTTCAAACAGCCACGGGTCCAAGTTTAGACAAAGAAGATGAGTTTATTAGTTTCCTGTCTA